ACCAGTGAAATAGCTCGAGCCATAAAACAGACCCAAGTCTTTGTGTGCAGGCTTACCATCAGCGGACGTGAATTCGTTAGGGAACTCTTCATAACCCACCCGGTTAATAGCAGCTGTGAAGTAGCAGTTGGTAATAGCAGCGTTCCTAGCCTCAATGTTCCACATGTACTCACTGCCTGCCTCAGCTGCGATAGTAGCTGAAGGGTTAAAAACAATTTCAGCGCCATTCAGACCGTACATCAGCCAGTTAAGAGCGTGATGACGGCCGAAGCAAATGTTCACCGCAATCTTGCCATAGCGGGTCGCGAAAACTGGGTGGCCAGTGTTACCTTCCATGTAATAGTTAGACTCATTGAAGTCTCCCACTCTGGGAATGTGGTTCTTCCTATGCTTGCCAATGACGTTGCCATTATCACTGATGACTACTGTTGTATTCCACAGGATCTCGGAATGGCTCTCATCTCGTTCAAGAATGGAAGACACAATTACCATGGCGTATTTAACGGCCAACTCCCTCAAGAATCGAGTCGTAGGCCCCTCTTCAGCAGATTCAGCAAATTCGCACCACGGCTGCTTCTCACGGGTGCAGAATGCGAAAGGCATGTTCCATAGTTCTTGGAAACATAGGATGTTGACGCCCTCCTGGCCAGCGACGTCGATAATCTTCTTTACCTTAGCAAACATGGCATTCTTTTGCTCATTGATGGGGCGGTCAGTAGGGATTGCAATGGAGTGCTGGATGACACCAACTTTGACAAGCCTCGGTGGGCGGGTGTGTTCAGGTTTGGCGGGGAAAGCGTACGCGGCGATTTCGAAGTCAGCATCTTTGGCGGCAGCAATGGAGCTGTCTTTTAGCTTGACTTCGAGGTGGTCCTTCCTGCCGTAGTAGATGCGGTTGAACTCGTCAAGGTCGCGTCCACTGAGATTGTTATTTACGATCGCCTCGAGACTGGGTGTCTGGTTATCCATGATTGCTGCAGTAGTGCGGTGCTGAGGGCCTACGTCTAACGACTGATGTTTCTCGATCGCTCCCTCGCTTAAATACCTGTTGGCCGAATGCATTAAGCGCGTTTATCGGTGTGGTCCGATCCTGGTGGCCTTCGACCTTCGATAAGTTTGAGACAATATCCCGAGTGAACAATATTTGGTTTATCATCACTTTGCTAGTTGGTGTACGTGACTGAGGGGATTGTTAGGATTTGTTCACACAAAAAAGCCGTAATAATTTTAAGTAGCCTTGAAGTGTTTTGCTTGTTTTTAACGTTGACATGCTTTTGACTGTAGTTATTTTCATTTTTAATTAGGTACCTACGCTTTTTTATCTTTGGGACACTTTCTATTGTATAGTGATATATTTATCCGTTCGTTGATAAAGGTAATAAAATTAAAGAATCGCTGAAAATTTAACCTGCCTACGCATATTTGCAAGAAAAAATACATAAACAAAGTTACAATTAAAGTTCGATGTAGAATTAGCATTGTAAGTTTCCATATGCCATGAATGATTAATCAACGTCTGGAATTTGAAACCAACGAGACACGACTCAACAAAGCCATCATAAAAAGAACTCTGCCTTAACACAACTCTTTTAACTACATAATTAGAAAAAAAGTTATCTCAGGGTGCAACTAAGATTAGATTAACTGGTTTCAACCAAAGTAGGACCTAGTCAAACTAGTAAATTGCATGCTAATATTTTACGCTAACCTGTCACATAAACATTACCTTCAAAATGAAGGTTTCGCAGAAAATGAACTAGCATACAAAACTTAGAATACTAAACGAGAATTTTTGGGAAATTAGAGATAGTAAGAAAGGAAAACGTCGAATATTGCTTTCTCTGTCATATCTATGTAATTATAGTTCAGCATCACGCTTTCTCTGCCAAAACACGAATCACCACATGGCCAAACAATTATGATTAGTTATAATTGTTTGGCCCTGTGTAAAGTTTTGTTGTTGTAAAGTAAGTAAAGTTTGTTAGCAAAGTTTTGGTGAATTAGTTACTTAGGTAACTAATTCACCAAAACTTTACCAACATTGATGTGCACCATTCCTTAAATCCCTATTAACGATCACAGATACTATAACTGTCAATAGACCTATACGAGTGTGTAAATCAATTAAGCAAGCGCGACACGCGTCTGTTTAATATTTACCGAGTTAACTGATTATGTAACAGTGCTATTTACTCTTAATACTGGGTTTTTACATATTTACCGCTGGAGAAGAATAGCAACAAATTAATACTGTAAGTGAGCTATCTTAAATGTTGAACATGAATGCATAGTTATTTATTACCGCTCAGGTAACGGATCACAAAGAATCACAGCATGAAAGGATGCTTTACCAGATACCAACTTCACAAAACAATCATAGCAACAAAAGTTTACTTTATGTTAATCAAAATAATCATAAGAATTTCGTAACATTACATTTTATCAATATTTATCGAATATAACCAATAATAGCTAGTTTTATGAATAAAAATAAGCAGTGAAGAGAATAGATATATTGCTTCATCTCTTTCACACAGTGTTATCTGTTTTCATTGAGTAACAACATGGAAGCAAACGAACACACTTTAGACAATATTGTGAAGAAAAATATTAATCCCGATCAATTAAAAGAGTTTAATAGAATCTACTATGGAAGAGAAGACCATTGTGAATTGGAATTAAAGTCAAAGACTTTGAAAGAAGGTAAAAATAATAATTTTGAAGTGGCAGGGTTCCGATTTGATGCTCGCAAAGAAGAGGTTAGAAAACCGAGAATTGTAAAAGTGGGCCTAATTCAACATTCAATTGTTTTACCTACCGATTCTCTCATTGCGCAACAGAGGGGGGCTATATTCGCAAAAATTGAAAAGATAATTAAAACAGCTGCTCTAGAAGGAGTGAACGTCGTTTGTTTGCAAGAGACGTGGTCTATGCCTTTCTTCCTATGTACGAGAGAAAAAGATAATTGGGCAGAATTTGCAGAATCAGCTGACAATGGTGTAAGTGTCAATTTTCTTCGTAACTTAGCAAAAGAGCATGCTATAGTCATAATATCACCTATCTTAGAGATAGATAATGATAATTGGTGGAATACTGCAGTGGTAATTGACGAAACAGGAAAAGTAGTAGGGAAACATCGCAAGAATCATCTTCCAAGCATTGGCGGTTTCGATGAAACCGCATACTACGCCCCTAGCAATTTAGGACACCCAGTTTTCGACACAACTTTTGGTAAAATTGCTATTAACATTTGCTACGGCCGTCATCAGGCGCTCAATTGGTTAATGTTCGGTCTCAATGGTGCGGAGATTGTTTTTAACCCAGCAGCTACTATTTCGGAATTTGGTGAATCCTTTTGGGCAATAGAAGCGAGGAACGCGGCAATTGCAAATAATTTTTACACTTGCAGCATAAATAGAGTGGGAACAGAAACTTTTGGCAAAGAAAACCCAATAACCAGAACTTATTATGGCTCCAGCTATGTGACTGCACCTAATGGTGTAAGAACTCCAAGTCTTTCGAGAATAAAAGATGGGTTGCTTATTGTGGAAATAGATTTGAATCTATGCCGACAAATGAAAGATCATTGGGGCTTTTCAATTACTGCAAGATTGGATATGTATGCTAAAGAGTTAATGAAAGTACAGAGAAAAAATTAAATACATGAAAAATAGCATCAGCCACAGAAGAGCAAGTAGATTTCAGTGGTTAGAACCGGCAAAATTCGATTCTGAATATCTTCTTGATACACAAATTTCGTGTATATTTTTAACCGACTTCAAAACGGGAGGTTTTTTTATGTATGTTACGTAATAACTCCGGTATTTGTGAACAGATTTTCATGATTCTTTTTTTGTTGGAAAGAGGATACCTCCATATTGGTCCCATTTCATTTAGAAGAAAATCATCCACCTCTAAGGGTGGCTGATCACACATGAATATTAATTTTTGTAAATAGCGCCTAAATTTTACTTAAGGACCAATTACTTTAATGGTTGGTTTTGCTATTCTCCAATTCAAGGCGATTTTCTCTCTCAATTTACTTTGAGTAGTGAGAACCGATTTTTATTATCTCCTGTGGCAAATCCTGTATAGTGGCGAACTAGGGGATATTTCAATAAAACTTGGCAAACAGATGTAATTCCATGTACTTTTGAGGTCGGTTTTTTTAGTACTCTGTACTAAGATTATTATATTATAATTTTTTATTTTGTTTTGATTTGTTTTTATGTAATAAATGTGGAATAAAATATAATTTGGGAATTAAATCAATGGAATTATATATTTACATATATTTAATTATTTAATTATAGAACGTTTGTAAGTGAAAAAAAAGCAAAACTTACGCGATTTATTTAAGAAAAAAGTTTCATTTTCAATTGTTTTCATCATGGAATTAATAAGTACTTCAAGTACTTATTAATTCCATGGTTTTCATTCAATGTATTTAAAAATATATATTTTTTAATTTGTTGAGGCTTTGGCCAAGCCATTAGCCTAAACGTGAATTATTATAATTATTACAGAGTTTTATTTGAAAATAATAAAGAAAAAAGCACACGGAACACTTTTTTGTAATATTTTGTTTATTTATTGAGCCTAAAAAGCTAACAAATAAATAGGAAACTCTAAATGTAATTTAGCTAAACTAAAAGCCGCCATTTTTTTCTGGGAACTGGGAAATTGTTCAAACCACAGATTATTTATTTATTTGTTGAGCATTGGCTATAGAGCTATCAGCTTAAACAAGCAACAAACTATTAAGAAACTAAAAACGTAATAATAATTAGATTAAAAATCAATTTGTGAAAAAATTGGAACTACAAAAACCCTCCATTTTTTTTACACAGTAAAAACATAAAAAACTCAAACCACAGATATCTGCAAAATTTTATTTTCAAGTACTAACGTGAAATGCAATTTTAGAGTGAAATGCAATGCAATACGTAAAAGTCAAACTCCGCCAATGCGCAATGACAGCAAAACTGTTATTCTGTACAGCGCTCCCGATAAATTAAAAAAGCACGACGCGTTTGCCGAATGATATGTCAATTTTTCACTTTTCTGTCGATTTATGTTCAGAACTTATTTTATAAAAAGTGCTGGAAATACTAATTAAACAATAAAATGGTAAGTGATTATTCAAAATTATAGTACTAAACTATAAAACCCACAAATTTGCGGCTTTAAACATAAAGTTGTTTTGGTTATAATAGCGTCATGAACATTACATTGCAAAAATTGTTTCAAAGAAACAATTTTTATTTCACTCTTATAAACAAAAAGAAATATTTATCATTAGATACGACGCCGGGTAATATACCTGTCTGGTACATTATTTTAAATATTGACTCGTACAATTTTGTTACCTTATGAAACACCATCATTGCAGTCGATCCTAGCGTACAATGGAGGTGCGGTGGTGGCGATGAAGGGCAAGGATTGTGTGGCGATCGCGACCGACAAGCGCTTCGGTATCCAGGCACAAACTGTGTCCACCAACTTTCCCAAAGTATACCAGATGGGTCCCACACTTTACGTCGGCTTGCCTGGCCTCGCCACTGACACACAAACTGTATATCAGCGGCTGAAATTCAGGTACTAAACCTTAATCTACAACATAGGTTCCCAAACTTTTTTAACACACCACCCAATTAGGCAAGGTACAAAAATTTCAATGCCCACCACCATAAAAATTATTGAAAACATGTACTTTTTTATATAAACTTAATACAAGAAATCCCAAAGAAAAATAAATGTATATGTAGTGTAATTTAAATAGATAATTCTGATTTTCATTCATTCAGCATCAAAGCCCCCCAATTGCTTTCGATGCCCCGTACCTAGGACTCTTTAGCGCCCACTGGGTGGCGGTAGGGATCACTTTTGGAAACTATAATCTACAGCCATAGACTCAAACTTGCTTCTAATCTGATAGTAAATGTAATTTAATAGAAATAATTGCAAAAATCTTCTTTTAAAAGTTATGACCCCATCATTGTAATTAATGATTTCACCAATGTCAGGTAAAAATTACTATGTATGGTAGTTTTGTAAAAATAATATAAAAATTATGGCAACGGACAACTCCATTAGCAAGACCGGTACCTCCCACTCCTCTCAAAATCTTCATTGTTAGCAACAAGTCATCATGAACTGCTTGTCAATATCTTACATGCTTGCATATTTCATTTTGCTCTCTAAATAAATGCATGTATTATCTTAATAGCCCAGACCTTTTCAAAACAAATTTTGAATTTTTCAGAATGAATTTATATGAATTGAAGGAGAACAGATTGATGAGGCCAAAGACATTCACAGCTATGCTCTCCAACCTGCTCTACGAGAAGCGCTTTGGCCCTTATTTCATTGAGCCCGTCATAGCCGGACTTGACCCTTATGATAACACACCATATGTCTGCAATATGGATCTGGTAAGATGTTTCATATTTTTATGTAAACCACTGTCTAAGATTTAAAACTGGTATACTGTACTAAATGATGGTCCCTCTTTTTTTTTTTTTTTTTTTTTTTTTTATTAAAAATGGACGTATTCTTGACCACTACCTAGCCCTAGAGCAAAGATGAGGCTACGTTGGTACGAGCTCGCCCAGAAGATGCCTATTCAATCGCACCTTGAAAATATTCGGGTTGTATGTACTCGGAAAAATAGACGTAGGCAGGGAATTCCAGTCACGGGCTGTGCGCATTATAAAAGATGACGAAAAGCGCTTAGTACGTCTTAAAGGAATATCAACCAGGTGAGGGTGATATCCCGCCGTTCGTCTAGATGTCCGATGGTAAAAGGGGGCGGATGGAATGAGCTGGTGGAGCTCATGGGCACACTCTCCGAAGTATAATCTGTAAAAAACCGACAGACCAACGACCTTTCGCCGATGGGCTAAACTATGAAGTTTATATTCGTCGCCAATAAGCCTCCTGGCTCTGCGATCAATCGAGTCAAGAGCCTCTAGTTGGTATTTCGCTGAGCCATCCCACAGGTGACTGCAATACTCCATGCAAGACCGGACCTGCGCTTTATATAAGGTTAAAAGCTGTCCAGGTGAGAAGTATCGCTTCACCTTGTTAAGGATACCCAGCTTCTTGGCTGCAGTTTGCGCTTTAGACTCTATAGAAGCGCCAAAGTTGAGGTTTGCGCTTAATGTCATGCCAAGAAGCTCTGGGCGGCCCACTCTTATTACTTGAATTAATTTTACACATACATTATTTGTGAATGTTATAAGCAGTTTATCAAGAAAAGATTTGCTTACTATTGTCTTTAAAGATGTTTCTTTAGCGATTTTAAATGATAGGACTAACAAGTTGTGCGCCCTTGTTACGTGACACACCACCCCATAAGTTACCTTGCCTCTCAGAGCTTTAAATTGCAAAGATCTGAGGGACACTACCACTGCATGTGTCAAATTTTCTTTTTTTTGACTGAAAATTCACAGGCTTCAATATTCTTCTATCTTATTGTCAACAGATTGGCTGCCCCAATGAGCCCGAAGACTTCGTAGTTTCTGGCACATGCTCAGAGCAACTGTATGGCATGTGTGAGGCTCTCTGGGAACCCAATCTCAAACCTGATGAACTTTTCGAAACTATCTCCCAGGTAAGGCAATAAATACTATTGATATGAGTATAATTATGTCACAATAATATTTTATATATCTTGATAAATATAATATTATTTATAATATTGGACTGGAGTTGAACTGAACCAGGCTTAGATACAATTTCTGTTTGTTTATATATGAGTGTATAGTTGTACTCTTACAGTTTAAGGGTACTGGACCCATGTCATAAAAATTTAAATTTAATTAGAAATGCTTTCAATGAAGGCTTTATGTTACAAGTACCGAGTTGACATTTGCAATGTTGTATAAATCCTGTTCCCTAAAACTCTACAATATGTAAAGAATGCCTTTTAGTTCACATATATCAGAATGTTACATAAAATCTAATTTATTTTTATTGAGGATAGGAATAAAATTGTCAATATTGAAGTCATGTTTGTTGTTTTTAATTGTTTACTTAATTATCAAATAGTATAATAATTTCTAATATGTTTCTTCTAGGCGCTAGTGAACGCGGCGGATCGCGATGCGATCTCAGGTTGGGGCGCGGTAGTTTACGTTATTGAAAAGGACAAAATCACCGAGAAGCATGTCAAAACGAGGATGGACTAAGTGCTTTATATATGTGGCTGGCTGCAGTTTTATTATTAAAATTCTTGAAAAACAATTTCTTATTTATTGCATAAATAAACATTGGGATCTTAATTCTAATAATAAAGTACTCGTGAATCGAAAGAACTATACTCGTCCTTCACATCGTACTTACTTTGGCTTGCCAGTACTGGGGCATTAAACTAATATAATGTGGTTTTGGCATATTGTACACATATGCTGATGATAATCCAAATAAACAATGCATATAAATTACTAAATTTGGACACAGTAATGAAGTGCGTTGACAAGTTTGGTTCTACCTAAAGTTTTATCGTATATATGTTCTATGGTATATCTCCTCTATCACACTTCCATGTACTATTATTATTATTATTGTAAGCGTCCCTTATTTTATAGTATAGGTATAACCATGATCGAATTTTAAGAACTTGATTTTATAACATGTTATGACTAGAACCGACTAATTCACGACTTTTTTTGTGTAATGTGCTATGGTCCTCGAGACTGAGAAATAGTGTCGCTGGATTAAACTTCTTTTAGTCTGGATAGTCTGGATAGTAAAAAATCTTTATAATTTTTGAAATGGTGGACCGACTAAATCTTGTTATTGGCGACTAGAACCAACCAGTGGTGTGTTAATTCACCTCATCATCATCATCATCATCAACTCACTTATACGTCCCACTGCTGGGCACGGGTCTCCTTTCAGACGAGGGTTTAGGCTATACGCTGCCCCAATCCGGCTTAGGGACTTTTCACGTTCTCCGAGGGTTGTGCATCTTCTTTAACGTGCAGGTTTCATCACGATGTTTTCTTTCACCGAAAAGCTCATGATAAATTTCAAATTAAATTTCGCACATAAATTCCGAGAAACTCAGAGGTGCAAGCTCGGATTCAAAACCACCAACTCTCTTGCTTAAAAGGCAGTGGGTCAAACCGTTAAGCTACCATGGATTCTTTATTCACCTAGTTCTCTTAATTCACCTAGGTGAATTAAATACACTTTTAGTAAACTTAAATCACCTGAGTGCATTAAACATGATTTTAGTAAAGTTTATTCTCCCGAGTCACGCTGGAATATGGGACGCGAATTGTAGCTTCCACTGAAATCTTAATATGAGACTATGTTTCTATTGTCTGTTTGAATTAAATTGCTCTAAGGAAACGGTTCCAACCTGGGTAACTTTGGATTACAAAAGAAAACACCAAAATAATGCAGAAACTTTATAAACCGAATATTTAAAAAATTAAGTTATTAATTTTTCATACACATTTTTGTCTTTACAAGATTATGAGACTAGAGAATTACCATTTCGATTGTGTTATGCCGTTGCCTGTTTGCAGCAAGCTTTTTATATATTTCTCCGATTTCGAGGGCCGTGGCTTCAACCGTCACCGTTAACAAAATAAACCTAATAACTAAAATTAATACATTATAATAAGATCCTATTCTATTAGTGTATAGTACATCCACAGCAGCATTTATACATCACATTGCAAAACTACCAGTTTAGGATTCGACAGACCCACGGATAATAAAGTCGTTGGTCCGCTCGCGGCTTTATATATTTCCTTGGTATTAATGACAGTAGGCCCAACTCAGACGTCGGATTTTTTTGTCCGACGAGTTATCATATCTACGCACGATCAACGTGGTGACAAGGCAGACAAATAACAATCCGTAGTTTGAATTATGCCTTATTCTCTCCATACACTAATAAAAGTGGACACTGTACACCTAAACAATGGCAACACGTATGACATATTTGAATCATTTTATGACTAACACATTGTTCAGGACTACGTCGGCGCGGGTTTATGGGTAAAATTGAGGCATTTTAAGGATTCAAGGACTTCGTGATCACTCCCTCGTTATTATAATAGTTGAATAGATAAATTATTAAAAACAAGTTTAGGCTGTATATGTTAAGAATGGCATTCAAACAACAATCTGTGTCGTCGAGGATACACTGAGCGACGAGCTCAACTACAAATTGTTACTTTAAATTGCAAATTTGAATGACCTAAAGGGCAATTTTCGTACGAGAACATCTTATACGTCACAAACTTTTCCTTTCTTCGTAATTCACACTTGAAACAAAGGAGTGATCAATACAGTATTAAAATAAAATTACAATATTCTAAAAGTAAACATATCTATCACAAAATGTATTATTCAATAAACATACAATTTAAGAACAGAAACAAAGTGAAAATACTGATTCTGTAAATTTTCAATAAAAAATTTCAAATTTCCAAGTTATACATTTGAAAAGATTTTTAGAAATTATAATAATTCACCCCTAACAAAGGCATTTTACGCTTTGAAGATATTTTTACGCGGTATGTATTTTTATATACACAACTATGAGAATATACCTACTTGCATAGGATAACGCATTACTTATATTTGGCTTTTTCTCACACATTACCATCGTAAGTATGCTAGAAAGAGTCAAAGATAACTTCTCGAGTCTAAAAGTAATCCAAAATGTTACAAAATCTTCATCCAGATTGTTCAATCGAAGAAAATCACAATGACCGTAACAATCCAAGTCTTAATTCGAAATAGAATAATAAATAACAAAATCTTACAACGTACTATTAAGAAGGACAATAAGCCGCGCGGAGGTCCCGTTACGCATTTCTAAGTTTCATGTTTATTCAAACAATACGCGTAATTTTTTAATTAATAATGTTGAAAGGGAAACTGATAAACCACAACCCTGAATATTAGCATAGAATTATAAAACAACAACGGATAATCATTCAAACGTAGCAGCGCGGCTTGTAGGTGTCAGTGCTAAGCAACGTGAGATTATGCGAATGTGTGCGTCCGTACATGGCGTGTAGCGACCAGACATACATGTCGCGCTACAACGTTTGTACGGAGTTACCATATTTGTCTTATTATTCTATTAGTTTCAAGATCATGTCTACAGAATATCATGGATTTTGGTATAATAATATATCCGAATTCTGACTAAACTTCATTTGTATGGAGCGCGCTTACAGGACTGTCCTCTTAAATACTATTCTAGACAAAAACTAAGCGAACTAGTTTAGTAATATTGGCAAAATCTTTAATTTACTCTCGTCAATCTTTCAAACCGTATTTGTCACTTCTGTAAAAATATCTCGTCACTGTGTGATGTATCCGAACTATTGAAGAATATCGTTTATTGTGTTCCATTTTTAAACACAAATTGCTCGATGTTCGTGTTCGACTTTGATATGCTCTAAGGTGTTCAATAAGGAATAGACGTTTATTTCGTGTACTAGAAGTGATAACGAACATCGTTTATTGCTTTCCATTTTCAAACACATATTGCTTAATGTTCGTGTTCCTTTGTTAAATAGACGTCTAACGCAAAAGAGAATATCAGAAGTGACAAAAACGTATCGACGACTCTTAAGAATTCTCCCGCACCTTACCACTACGACAGTTATAAGGCATAGGGGTGACTGCCAGAGTCATCATAGTATATTTAGAAATTCCACTTGGTGTTAAAACAAGACTTAGGATTATGCCACATTTGTCATGCAAATTTCAGTGCGGCGGATGACAGTCGCTCGTTGTGATGGGTCATTTCATGCTATCATGACATCTGTAGCATGGCCTTAGTTTGAGCGCGACCTTTAATACTCTTAGTATTATGCCTTGGCTGATAAACCACATCGTTCAAACGTTTATGTATACTTTAATGTCATTGTATTAACCAAGCGGTTTTTCTGGTTATCTTTACGAGAAAAATCACACGAGAGGCGTTTGTACGTCTTGTGTATGGTCGACAAAATAGGGACAAATTAAGGTTGGCCCGTCTCGAGATTAAACAAAGTTTTGCGAGTACTTTTATGTACGTTCATACGTTCGTTCATACGTACGCGCTCAAATATGTGTATGACGTCATCGTCATACACATATTTGAGCGCGTCATGAGTGTACCAATCATATAATATGGTCCAACAATATAAGATTAAACCATTGAGAATAAGAGCTGTTCTATAGTAAATGTACAACGCGGGCAAAAATATAGAAGAGCTAATTTTCTTCTAGAATGAAACGATTAGGGATTTAGTAAATGTTGTTTGTTTCTATGTAGTATCCAATTATTTCTTTAACCTTACTTGAGTCGCTTTTTTGTCGAACATCACTATAAAGTTGACAGATTACATTTTTCTTACAATGTACTATAATTAATTCATTAGTACTCAACAGCCGTAAACCGTCTATCAAAACATTAATCGAGATTAAATACACTCGGCCAATTTTAACATGTCACTAGGTTAAGTCCAATGGTATTTAGTTTATAACATTATTATTTGGCAGTAGTGTCGATTCTTGTTTCTAATATTTCGTAACGGATATCTTGTAGGCAACAGTTGAAGTGCAACATGTTTGCTAACGACAAGTTGCTCGATCGAGAAATTTAGGAAAAGACAACGGTGCTAAAGTCGAAACACGTGTCTAAATATCAAGCAACATATTACGTATCAATTGTTGCATAAGGATACGCCTTAACTAAATAGGCAACTTTAAAATTATTGCTATCCTTTTCAATCTATAAGTGTAAATCAGATAACACTAGCTTTAGACTACGTAAACATTTTTATTACTGAAAACGTTCAAAACAGAATCGATACTTAGCCTAATTTATACGACAGCAGAACGTTATAAAAGCTATTAACGAGATACGAAAATTATTGCAGTTTATGTGCTCTTATAATTTAAATTTAATATCAGTTCGTGTGAAAGATTAGTTTCGATGTAGACTGTGATAAGAATAACTAGAATTGGAATTGCTGACACAAGTTTTTACAAGGCGACTTTAGTAGAAAATTGTTTTGTGAACGTTAGACACAACAAAACACTTGCAATTTGGATGCGCATTTCTATGAGAACAACACTGAGCCGCTAACGGTGTGCGAAGCTCGTCAGCTTGTGTTCATCACCCATCATGAAAATAAAACATAGAATTAGGCCCAAAGAGACTTACTACACCGTTCTGTAAAGACTTGTATCGTTGCAACTTCACGCGGTCACACGCCATATACAAACGATTACCATTTGATTAGATAAATATGAACGTTAAGCAGAGAATATAACGTTCAATTTTCAACAAAATTTTGATAATACGTTATGTATTTAACATGTGAACCCGCCGCACAAAGAATTATTTCAAAAGACAAAATTAGATGTTTTTAAGATTTTAAATTCTTAACGTCTATTTATTATTATTTTCGATACTCTGTGATTAGGTAGCAAAAATATTCTTAAATTTGGTGTTTCATTATGGTCTGCCACATTATTTTAGCAATTATTGCAGTCGTCGTAACGTGTACTTCACAATGATCGAAAGTTTTAATAATTAATTATGAACACAATTAAAAAGTAGAGTTGAGTTAAATTTTAGTGAAGACATTTATCAATTAACTTTCATCTATAAGATCCCGCGCTCACGAGTGGCTCTTTAAATGGTAGTAAGCTGAATTGACTTTTTTGGGTCAATTTCCAGTCATCATCACTGCAGTAAATTCCCGATTGTTGCCAGTAGCCATGATTCTCATTTGTTGTTATTATGATACAAATTCCTCCGATCTGGCTGGAATCAAACCAGCAGCTTCGCTACACCGCGGCTGCCGTTCTCCCAACTAAGCTACGAAACGAGTCGGCATACATTACGAATTTGTCTACGTGTTTGTAGCATATCTTTCTATTTGGGTTTAAAGGCATTTGTTACCGTATACAAACACGTGTGTCATGGTATGTGTTACGAAATTGCAGTAAAACCATAACAGTAATATTATTATTCCCATTTGGTACTATTGATTTTATTACACCCATATGTTACGGAAGGGATCACTTTTTTACTTCTATCCAACTGCTTACGGTCGAGCAGGAACCATCTCGTGAACGTAGCATCTTAAGCATCTTAGACTGGCCGCATATTTCCAAAATTTCATGGGCAGTATGTTTTTGTATATTACTCTCGGAATATCTGTTTAGAACACTTGTAGTGTTAAGCAGAATCTTAGAAGCTTGTATTTGTATGCAGATTTGAAGGAGTGTGGCCAGCCTTGTCGATTCTATTACACACTTAAGTTAATTGAAAGACTTGTGACTTAAAATTTATCTTTCGTGCACGTTGATTTCTATGAATTTTTATATAACGCTTATGTAATAGGTAAAGTTAGAAATTGGCGCCTAAAAATCGACATTTTTTTAAATAATGTGATAGATACCCATGTAATATCACAGTCACGATCCGGCGTCAAAAATGTTAATATCGAGATAAACCAACATTGCGCTATTGACTTGACGAAGTGAAGATTCGCATGCGAAGCCAATAATTACGAGAAAAAGTTGAGAACAAACAGTACACTGTCCAATTTTACGCGTCGGACACGTAGTCAAAAAGGTTAAGAACTGTATTTTCTGTCTATATGTTGTCGCCATCGTGTCATGGGCCACTCCACTGCAGAACACAGGTAATTACAACACAATGTATTAATATTTAATTTAATATTTAATATACATTGTATTGTAATTACCTGTGTTTTGTTTGTGTGTGTGTGTGTGTGTTCTGTTGATAATTCAACAGTAGCTAATAGTTAATTATATTTTTTGATTATTAATTGAGGCCATCAGCGCGATAGTAGAGTAACCCACATTCAAATTCTTTTCTTTTTTTATACAATATTACTTTAAATGATACTAAAGTACATAATTATTTTATATTAGGACGCTATTCTGATGTATAAAAAAATAAACATTTGTTAGACAAGAAAATAGGATTAAAATATAAAATAATTAAGGATGCCCTTTAATATCATTCAAAGTAATATTGTAGGAAAGAAATTTAATGTGAGTTACACCAACTATTGCGCTAATAACCTCAATTGTTCTCGTGGCGTTCTGAAGGATACTTACTTATTAGGGCACCCGACATTTGACAGAATACTTAAAATACACGTCAGAAGATGTATCCACTAACTTTAGACTACGTGTTCGACCGACCGTCCAATATCGGATACATACCAAACATTATCTACATTAATTTTATTTAACACGTTATTTATTTGCATTTTTAAGCATCGACGTACTTACACTTAGCGTAAACTTGTCTTTGACAAGAATAACAACGTAAGGTAATGCTCCTTTTAGTACCTGACAATGACTGAAAACTACAAGAAACCCGGAATAAACCGTAGAAAACTTGAAAAACCATGAAAACTACAGACTTAGGCGGAAAGTGCTAGCAAAATACGAAGTAAACTACTGAAGGTTAAAAAAAACTACCGATTAAAAATCACCCTGTTAATTCCGTCGCCTTTACATTTTTTAATTCAATTATGGCGTCCAAATGAGTTACAGTTACGTCATTTATATGAACGCTAAACAGCAACATTGTAGAACACAGTATTAGTAAATTATTTAAGGAACTCTAGCAACTACTAAAAACAAAAACATCAACTCAAAGACTTGGCAAAATGAGTATACACGATTCTTTAATCACTGATTGCTTGCTTTATGGGAGAACTCTCAATTAACAGGTTTTTCACAAAATCGTGTTGAAAAACATAATATTATTATGTGAAACAACGTACTATTGGAACGTAACATAGTACCGATTGTTATTATGGAGTCACATTTTTTGTCGAGACTTAGGATAGGATGGTACAGGTCAAACAACGACAGCAAAATAGCAGTTCGGATGCAACTGCACACCAATTGCAATTTTAGACTAGTTGTTTAAGCTGTCTACAATTGAGATGCAACAAACTGCTTTTCGACTGCGTTTTAAATTGCTGTTTTTGCTATTGAAATGCAGTCTGAATGTAGCACAAGACTGTCAGTCACTTTTGTAACTAGCAAATTACATATAAGTTCGCCGATCATTGTACATTATTTAACTTCCGGAAAACGACTTCAAAATAAACTTTTTTATAACCTGGAATATGTGCCATAACAAGTAAAATAAGTTTCTATATTCATGGCTCATGGCATCCAGCCTTTTAAGCCATAATATCAGTAACAACAATCCGAGTAGTCATATTTTATAGCCTGTACTAAAAGAAGCATTCTATACAAGCGAGGCGTCACTTAGTTGCCTTCGATAGCCTTGGCGACGAACTCGATGAACCGCTTGCCGTACTGCTCGGGGTCACACGTCGATATGCCGTCAACGTTGCTGCCGTACTTCACCGTCTTCGCTGCTTTTGCGGCCTGACGAAAGAGCAAACCCATATTATGATATCAACACAAATTTGCAATATCATAGTATAAAAAAAAACAAGTAGTGCAACTCCATACAAACATAGCAGCGCGGCATGTACGTGTGCATGCCCGGTGCGCACCGCAGTGCATTCGCGTCGTGACGATAGATAGTCGTGCAGTTTAAAGTGTCGTGACTTGCACATTTAAATGAAGTTGTTCACATATATCAACACGATTAACTGTCGTTCACGACTTTTTTGACATTACGAACGACAGACTATCGTGACAAAGGGATGAGCTAGAACGACAGTCGTGAGACGATAAATAAGACGTCACGATAAAAATGTGACGACTGATAATCGCAGCTTCAAACGATTCTGTCGTGCCAACGACAAGGCGGCGGTCATGAACCAATAAATTGTCAGTCACGACAGTCGTTCCACAATAAACGTTCACGACATAGTCACGAGAGATAGTCGTGATATGGGAACAGGACGCGACCGACGTCTAACTATAAATAACGTTATGGAACGCGCCCTTGCACAGCGCGGGTTGCACGCGCTATTAATTATAGAATGAATGAAGCATACGTTCGGTATTTAAAAAATTGACATGACAAATAGTAGGTGTGTTGTGTGGCGTAGTGGTCATTGTTGTGTTTATGGTTGTTTGAGCAATTCAAATTCAGAATAGTTCAGCATTACATTTCTATTTCATAATCATACTCCCATAATATGCGCTGGTATAAAAATATCAATACGTAATATATACTTTTAAACTTTCGCGTTGCATTGTACTAACATTTGGAAAAAGGAATAAATGCGTTTAAGTACGAATAAAAAAGTTTACAAACGACCATGGCTGACTGAGTCAGCCCTTGACCAAGGCAAGTGCAACCTGGCCGAAACTTCGGGAAACTAGGTAGGTGTGAAAAATACCTATTCGTATTTAAACGCGTTTATACCCGTTTCCAAATGTTAGTACCAATACGTAAGTACTGCATTTAACAAAGGTCATATCATTATGGCATGAGAATACTGTGATGAACACCTTCATTTCTTCAAATTATGTTTACAACCTGTGGACATTGGCCTACCAACAAATGGACGTCGGGTCCGCGCTAAAGTGTCCGAACCTATAGGGCGTTAAAATCGCACACAGAGCGTCAATCGTGCGTCAGTCTTCGTTTCCTCGCCTCACAGCGCGCTTGTCAATCATACAATGCTATATAATGTAAAAACTTGTAAAAATTACTGAAGTAAAGTGAAAGAAAAAGGTTTTTGTATTAAGCCCGACGTCCATTTGTTAGTAGGTATAACTAAAATAATAATGTGGCAACCCTGTACTCTGAGCGAAGCTTTTTATTATTATTGATACATAGATCTATCTGCAGCCCCGGTGAGGCAACTGATACTGGTTCGTGTACAGTTGAATCGAAGGAATGTTTCTTTGTACTTGTTCGTCGAACAAACCAGTGGAATAATCACAAAAATATGAACATAAATATCATGGTAGTAGAATATTAATATTCCTCAGGGTATTTATTTCGTCTGTATAAAGGTAAAACCACATAAATGACGTTTTCCACAAAAAGTCTTTAATTTATATAGCTACGGTAAGAAAATCACTATCTTTCTGCATGTGAAGCTCGATAACAAAAAAGCTATAAACTTAATAAGTTTTATGTGCAGAAAGATAGTAAATTTCTTACAACTGGTACATAATTGGGAGATTTTTTTCTGGAAAATGTTACTTATGTGGTTTACGTTTTTGGTCACCTTTAGGCAGACGATTTGTACCTATCAGTTCCTCATCAAACTTGGTCTGACCGGGAAACAAATTCGAGAATCATATGACGAACGATTGACACAACCAAGTTGTACAGCGAAAAAAAAATTCCTTGACAGAGAAAGAAGACCATTTTGTCGTTATATACCTGTTTCTTGACTCCATAATGCGTCAACACGTCGATCAAGGCGACGAAATAAATCTCCTTCTTGGGCGAGCCCTCCTGGCTGGGGATGGCGTAGATGTCGAGTTCAGGGATGATACCTTCGTAGCGCAGCGACGCCTGCCGGCCCAGCCCGCGCCCGCCCGGGCTGTCCGGGGGCGTGTTATAGCCCCACCTGCGCGACAGAACGACATATCGCACTGCTATTACAATAGTGTTGTAACTCAAAATATGTGAAATTCAAGATTATACCATTTCTGAACGTAAAATTTCTTTCTCTACACGTCAATAAAATTTATCTACTTCACCCAGAATAAGGGTCGTATTCTAGAACTCTACTCAATGCTCAAGTCAGGATTGCACTGGAAACACAAGCACTGGAAATACTACCCTAATGGCAGGGACTTGAGTATTCGAGGGTTTCGAGTGCTGTAAACCAAACTCAAATCATAAATTGAGCATTGAGTAGAGTTCTAGAATACGACCCAATAAGTCCTTACTCAAAATTATATCATAATATTTTTTACTTTTATTTTTAAATATACATCTAATTGGCAAGTAGGAGTTGTTTAAATGTCTAATAAATTTTAACCTATACATAAATTATAATAATCTTTCACGGGAAGAGAGTATTTAGTTTTTTAGCTGTTTTGAATAAATCCACTTTTTGAGTTATATATGTTTCTCTAACGTTTGACAGAAGTTTTGTTTTTCCTTTAATTTGACTGAAAAAATTGCTAAACTTTATGGTGGCAGTGTTATTTTATATAAGAATTCAATTCAAATGTTATGGTTTTTTATTAATTTCTGTATTACTATAATATTTGATAATCGCGAAATATAAAGCAAAATTTCACACTATCCCTCTCGTTTCCGCAAGTAACAAAAAACAAGGCAAGACATAATATCATAGATTACTTTAAGCAACAGAATATCATAGATTACTTTAAGCAACAGAGTGTTCTGACTACACAATAACAGAGTATGTATAATATGAATAAAGCGGTTATTGTGGTTACCATATAAATTTAAAATATATAAAAGAATAGGCTGCGTGATCTAAAGAACCTTGTCTTTCCGTAAGGAAAAGTACATAACATAACATCAATAATTTCAACAACACAACTACGAGTATAACCATTTTCTTTTACTTAATTTGTATTTTCTTTTTAGTAATTCGTATGTTCTCATCGTTTAAACAATTAAATAATGCCATCCAAAAATTGGAATAACCTTATACAGGTACGCGCATAATCTGTTTTGGTTTTGTTCTGTGTTATTATATAATGATGATAATGCTATTTTAATATTATCTGCCTGCCTAGCTCATTCCAAACAGGTATAGACTGTCGCGTCTGTCCACGATACTACGGTACTGATACTCTTTGACAAAACTCAGCACTAAAACAAGACACTATCACTATTGATAGTGTTTTGTTTGGAACATATAGTTTGTGTGAATGCTCTTGTCTATAGACTGAAGTATTTGGTAGTGGGTAGTAACTATTAAGTAATCTGTGGTAGCTGTAAAACGGCTCGGAGAAAATAGTGCACACTCGCATGACGATGCGAAAAACATAAAGAGATAAGTAAAAATATTAACACAAGATCACTGTACAAATACTACTATTTGATAATGACTACTCATTTTAGTATTTGGTTTTTGTGACATATCGACTGTGAACTGGCAACCGTTACTATCTCAATTTTTACAACTTTACATTTACAGGTGAAGAGAAAAATTGTTTGCGTCATTTATATACCACCTGGTTTATTAAATTAAAAGTACGTAGTGCATGTGTAATAAAAATATTTAAAAAGTATTAATAATATAATAAAAAAATTAAGGTATTGTAGTCGGTGATAGTGTTCTTAATACTGTCCAATATTGCCACCTTTTTCCTTCAAAACTTACCTTTCGCCGTGGCGGTTATCTGTGTCGGAGTCTGTGTCGGTGTCTTCTGCGCTGTCCAACGCCGCCGCGGCTCTCGCCGCCTCGGCCTCCGCTTCACCTCGTCCACACTCGTGCATGCCCAGCAACAGCGAATAGTCCATAAGATGCAATTTTGTCAGGAACTGAGAATAAGAAGGTAATAGCCTCTTAATGTCTATTCGACTACGATTCAAAGGCGTACGCAGCGAAGACTTAGCAGATCATTATATTAAGATAATATGCTATGAATTGCTAATTGTGTGCAAACGCATCTACCGCCCCAGCATTGGGGACTCCCACCTATCTGCCAACGTGTTCGGATGCCGTTCGTGCTATGACGCATGCGATTGAGTAGCGACGCGCTTCGCTTTCGTATGATAGCGTAAAATACCGTATGTCCGCTGCGTATAGATGACCCACAGGCTGCACGTATAAAAGTACAAGTGCTTTGAAAAACGTTACCTTCACTTCATCTGTACATCGCGCAAACATGCGTGCCAACATATTACAACTAATGGCTTTAGTTTGTATTGTATGCTTGTATACATAAATAAATAAAGTATATTTACTAGGAAAACAAAGACGTTAATGTAGTTCTAAGACATTGACGTTTACAATATCACTATATTCACTCACTCAGACATTGTAACATTAAAACAAAATTGGAAAGTTACAATATTTTTATTATTGTTGATATAAAAATCAAACAACTCAAAGAAAAATCCCTTCGATCTGACTGGATCCGAACCAGAATCTATTGTCACACTGAGGCCACCGCCTATGCTAAGCGCTGAACAACTGCTAAACGGCTGTAGCAACAGACAAAATCAAATAATCATTTATTCCATAGATAATATTTTACACTCGAAATAGAAAAAAATCATTTTTAATCTACTGCTCGTTCACTGCGCTGACTTCCCTGAGAACAACGAGCAAGAAAATCTAGGGATTGCTCTTTTCAAATAAACTTAAATGCTATGGAAAACACTTTGAATCAAATTTGTGTGGATTCTGGAGCCATGTCGTCTTTCCACACATCTTTATCTAAACACGTAGTCTTCAATTTTGTAATATGATTTTTCGATCAAAATATTTTTAATGTAGTTTTTAAACTTAGGAAATGATAAACTTAATATGTGCTCCGGAATCTTATTGTAAAAACGTATACAGTTCCCCATAAAAGAGTTGTTTACCTTGGTTAAACGAAATCGTGGTACCATGAGTTTGGACTTAGCTCTAGGGTTAACATTATGATAATTGACGTTGGTTATAGTCCAACCACGTTGAAGGAATTTTTGTTTGTACTGTTCGATCTTTTTTCTTTTTTAATAACGCACATACTCAACATAGCCCAGCACTAGGGAAACCCTGTGTCGTGGGTGCCACGAACACACATAGACAACCACAAATTACACCCAAACTCATGTGAGAAATAAATGAAGGCCATACTAATATTACTCCCGGCCCGGGAATCGAACCTGGAACCTTTGTGTGGCAGTCCAGCATGGTAACCGTTCGGCCACGGAGGCAGAGGCGGAGGATCTTTGTATCAATAATAATAACGAACTAGTGGAGTATTAAAAAATATGAATATCATGATAATTACTAAAATAAATAAAGTTATATATTAAGTTTTATTCTGAAAAATTCTAAATAGTACAATTATGCCTTATTTACACCGGATGGGCGGTAATAAAAACGTCTTATCTGCATCGTAAAACCGTACAACTTCTAGTATGTTATTTCGCGTATATAAATTAAGTATTAGACAACATTAGTAGTAACTAATGCATTTGTTTTGTTTTCTTTTTATAATATCAAGATGGATAGCGTACTATTTAACGTTAAAGGCGTAACAGAAGGAAGAATCTCATCCATGTTTTTTATCTACTAATCAAAAGTAACATTTTTGTTCACCTCAACATCCGCTGTCAATGTCTCCAGTAGTTTTTCCTTTGCGGCCTCTCCGATGTCAATACGCACGCCTTGCTTGATGAAGTCATTATCCTTCAAAGTGGGTAGCTCCTTCTCCAGTTCTTTCTCCGACGCTTCACGATCCACTGTTGATCCTTTTAGGTCGTACTTCCTGCATAAAAAAATACCCGTTTTAATGCCGATTGAGAGGTCAGTTTATGATGGCACTTTTGTGATTATTCCCAGAAGTTACGACAATGTAGCAAATTAACCAATTTAAAAAAGAAACAGAACCAAAAAACAGTACAGTGAATAAATGTAAGAATAATCATGTTATGGCATCTGGTTCCAAACATAATTCCATAATTATAACCGCAGTATAGAGTACTAAAAAAACCGACCTCAAAAGTTGGTGGAATTACATCAATAAGCCAAGTTTTATTTAAATCGGTTACTGCAAAGTGCACGTAACCAGATTCATCCGCTATACAATATAATGTCTCTTTACATGCAATAAAGAATGTATTGCATTATTGTCTGAGATTAAAAAATGTACCTGTGGATATTGAGGTGGTTGGAGAAGACATTCCTGGTGGCGACAAGATAGTGCTCGATGCCGTCCACCGTCAGTCGGTACATGCCCAAGTACTGCGGGAGCAGAGTCTTACCGTGGCGCTCCACTATGTACTGAATAATATAAAGAATAATAATGCTATACTAAAATGATACTTAGAGTTTTCGTGTCAAGAAAGCAGTAATTAGTCACTTTTAAATTTAGAATGTCACATGATATTACAGCTAAGTGATTAGTCGATTTACAATTCGAATTCCAAGTGATATTATAATAATGTGATTAGTCTATTTTAATTTCATATAGCATTCTTAACGTTTACACAATAGCACAGTATTAAAATATATTCCCTACAATAGCACAACGCCTTTGATGTACGGCAATACCGCCACACGTTTAGATACTTATACTGTCATACGCAGATATTTGCAAGGGTTATCACAAATTAAAAAAATAAAATGTGATTATTATTATAACGCAAGCATTTATTTACAATAACATATGTACATACGTAATAATGATTTACATATGTTGCACTACCAAATATTTACGTGACAATTTATTTTAGATGGTATTCAAAAATATTTTAAATGACGCACTCGTCGGCCCTTAGGGCTCGATCCCACAAACTAAGCGTGTTTGCGGGATGCGGCCCGCGGCGCCCGCTTCCCCGCGAATGGGGGCACCGTTGCTCTGCGCAAGTACATTCGTTGCGCAGCTGTATGGTTTGCAAAACTATGCTAATAGTATACAAGCTTATTTGATTACAATTTCCAGAATCGAACGTAGTGAACTAAGGCCTTAACTTACTTCTAGGAAGCGGGTATTGTGATAAGCAGTATGTAATACATGCTCATACAGTACCTATTTTTGTGAGACAAATGAAAAAATGTTAATACAAAATCTTGTAAGTACCTATACTATGCAACTCAAAAGAACATCATACTACTCGTGCTCATGTATATGTAGGTATGTTATATAACATACATAATTATAACGTAAATAAAAATCGATTAAAAGTCAACAAATCACACACAAAACCCTAAAAAAGAGTAAATTGAAGAGTGTGACATTTATTTATTGATGTGCTAAATTTAACAACATCTTTTTGTTTTTATAGACATTCTAAAACATTTAAATGTAGCGCGATGTAACATTTTCTATGCCGTTTCGTTTTACTGATTTCTAGAATGTTCGTCACTTTTGTGATAATTTTTCAATTTTTAGGTGCGTTCTCAAGTTTTCTCACCGCTGAAGAAAATGATAATTTACATTTATAACTGAAGTATTATAAAAAATCATAGGTGTTCGTGCGGTGGAATGAACAAAGGCCCTTTCATAGAAAAATTATGCGTTTTTAAAGTAAATTAAAGTCGTTGATATAGTATAAATTTAAGTTGATTTGTCTTAAATCAACTCAAACTTTGATCATTTTCAGCTTATTGTGTAGTCAATTTTGGTTTATTAGACCGTTTAGTTAAATTTGATGCTAACTGTACACATAAATTACTCGTTGAGGTTCTGTAATTAATATAATGAATATTTTTTATTAGACAACATCGCATATGTTGCTCCGATTTCAAAGTATTTAACTAGACCATTTGTGTTATGGAAATCGGAAACAACGACGGTACCACAAACACCCAGACCCGAGGCCACATAGAATTTTATTTCCACATTGCCCGGCTGGGGATCACAGACCCGAGATGCCAGATATGGCGATACTATGAAAAGCGGTGTGCAAGTCACTCGACCACGGAGGTCGTCAATAATGTTTTAACTGCCTCCGTGGCCGAACGATTATCATGTCGGACTGCCACACAGAGGTCCCAGGTTCAATTCCCAGGCCGGGAAATATTTGTATGGCTTATATTTATTTCTCTCGTGAGCTTAAGTGTAATTTCTGGTTGTCTATATGCGTGTCCATGGCACCCGCGACACAGGGTTTCCCTAGTACGGGGCTATGTTGAGTGTGTGCGTTAAAAAACAAATAAATAAATTTTAAAAAATGTAATAAAAACCTTATTTAAGTCTAAAATAAAAAAATGCACTTGACCTTATTAAGTTCAAAACATTGTCAATTGTCAATAATAGGTAGGGGAAGCATACATTTTCATGTTACATTATACCACTACCAATTGATAAGATAGCAAGAGAGCATAACCGTTATCGTGTTCACAGGAGAAATGTGCAGCTTATCGCAAGTGTCAGTTACCGGATTATAGATATCAGCCAATGGTATAATGGGTTTTTTGTTCGCTGCAATTCAAATTTAAAATCTATTTACTTGTTAGATAAACGTACGACAATTTGAAATCATGATTGTAAAATGAAATTCATCGTGAACACAACCGCAATGTAATTTCTTTTCTATGTCAAATGGTATCACCGAAGAAGGTACACTACGAGAGATTACAATATTTCATATTACCTACGTAAACTCGTACCCTGGTAAGTAATTCGTGGTAACCTAATGATTTGACCTATCGCCTTTCAAGCAGAGGCCGTGTGTTGGAATCCAGGGGGTCTACTCCGAAATAATCGCTTTCAAATAAATAATACTCGACAAAATTAAAAGAAGCATGATGCGAAGGAAGCTTCATACTTGACATTGTCGAGTACTACTTATATGACAGTATAGAATAATATAGAATGTCGACCGAGAATAGATCCACAGACTCGCACCTCTGAGTTTCTCGGAATTTATGTGCGAAATTAAATTTGAAATTTACCAAGAACTTTTCTGTGAAGGAAATCATCGCGATGAAACGTGCAAGTCGTATAAGGTTCTCAACCCTCGGGAAACGTGTGAAGTCCCCAACCCGCATTGGCCTAAACCCTCTCCTGAGAGGAGACCCATGCGGCAGTGCGACATATAAATGGGTTGATGATGAAACTCGTACCCTTGGTGTAATAAAGCCACATGTGATACGTCAAAAGTGCTTTTATCACATGAAAGTCAAATAATACGAACTATAGAAAACAAATTATGTATACCGTCGGGGATAGTGCAAATCCGCGTATGTAGTGTTGGTAAAAGGAGCGTATCTGCACTGAACTGACTTTTTACAGGAGAAGGATTTAACGTTATTACATTGTTATTTCAATGACTAGGACTTTCATTTTTGCACTGTAAGCATTAATTTATGTTGTCTACGGACTGATAACAACAGACTCCCGTAAATCACGCTATTTTGGATGCCACAACATTTATGCGGATTTGATTGGACCACTTAATTACCGAAATGGAAACTCATCATCCAGTGCTAGTTACGCGTAATTGCATATCCCCGACGATATGTGAAATTTGATAACCCTTCCATTTAAGTATAAAAAAGTTATCGCCCGATTTCTTTCGTTTTTTTAAAAGTTATCCCTGAAAAGTCGTCATTTTACAAGATTGGCTTGCCACACCTTGGATGCGAATTAAATAAATTAAATAATACTGTATTATATTATACAGTCCAGTTATGAATGTAATAAACACACTTGTTGTTAACATCTTTACTCCTATCTTTAAGAGTGGTTACACGCACGGCGGCTTTTAGCACCGATGCAAACGAATTCATCTGTCCACTTGCGATATTACAAAAGCGCGACTGCATTGATACAAACGCGCGAATGCATCGCCTATAAATCACAAGTGTAGCGATGCAATCGCGCGTTTGTATCGATGCAGTCGCGTTCTTCCATCGCATTTACATCACTGCTTAAAATCGCGCGCGTGTATAAAGGTAGACAATCAGCGACTGTATCGCGTTTGCATCGCTTCTAAAAGTCGCAGTGTGTAACCGCTGTTAAGCGTGAAACACACTGACAGCGGGTACGGGTCGGACCCCAGTAGGGTCGGGAGCACGGCGCGTTTACACGGAATACACCCGCCGTGCTCCAGGCCCGACACGCACCCGACCCGCACTCATTCTCTGTGTGTTTCCCGCTTAAGTATATCAATTGTTTTATATGTATGTATTTTGGTGAAATTACAGGCACATGGGAGTTGTCAACATATGGTCTCAGAGTGACGGGCGCAGTGGTAATGCCCCTCAGATCTTTACTCTTTTAAAGCTTTGAGTGGCACTGCAACTGTTATAAACAGGCGTGTAGCTTACCATCAGGCGCACGACTTGTTAGTCCCGTCACTTGATGTTATAAAAAAAGTGTACGAAAACAATACGTAATATATTATACTGTATATTATTCATAGAAACAGTTGTGTTGGACGGTTTGAGGCATGAGGCAACACATTAGCACTAGTCCATTTGTGTAACGTGTAAACTTACATTTACGTATCTAGTGCTTTGTTCTCAATAAATAAATTTGAAAACGCGTACCAGGATGCAATCCGGATGACATACATACAGGGTACATACAGGGATATAACCCTAGTACTGACACCAGACTCTCACAATGTGCATAACAGTAACAAAACTCTGTATTTTAGTCTTAAGTAAGTCTTGTGAGAGTAATAAAAATATCGTTCATTCATTCAATCGAAATAACATTACATTTTTTTACACAAAGCAATTATAGTCCATTTCACGTAGAATGGGTACTGTGACATTTCCAATTTTTATGTCACACGCATACTATTTTTGACTAATCTCTCAACCAGGTTATAAAAAGAAATAGTAGCTTTGTTACAATATACCAAAAACAACTTATATTTGCAAGTAAAAATTACAGTATATTAAGTAGATAAAAATGAAATGATAAACATAAATTACCCCAATTACTTGATGCGTAAAACGGAATATGTATCCATAGAAATGTACACCATTGAATCGATACATAGATTTGGCTATTATGTATCTCAAGTCAATATGAGTACAGCGGGAAAATCAGTTGCGTTGTAATGACAAAAAAACGTATTTTTCAAAAACTCACAGGATGATAATGTTTAAGGAATGAATGCATCCGCTCCACCTCCTCGGACGTGAGGGTCTTCAAGATAAACAGCCGGTCATAGCTCTGGTAGAACTTCGCGCCGGACTTGCCTGAAGAGTCGTCGGGAATCGGTTGCGATCTGTCAACAAGTTTACACAGACACTTCGATCTCAGAGCTTGAATGAGTCAACATAAAACGCCCTTTAGGTCATCACCATTAGATATTATGTAATAAAACACAATCCTTCGGATCTTAACAACATCAACTACCATTGCAAATGACACCAGAGTGCGTGTGAGGTGTACTATCAGCAAAATAGACGCGTTACTACCATAAGGGTTCTTTTTGCGACAGCGATCCGTAGCAGCCACCCGCAGCGTGCCCGTTCTTGTCAACGAATAGCGTTTAAGGGCTAGATCACATTTTTATTTTAAACAAAAGCTTTTCACAGAGAAAGGCCAAGAAAATAAGGGATAGCTACAATCTCCGCTTGCAAGACCAGGAAGACTTGAACTTTGCTAATAGTACGTCAACACCAGTTGTCTGTGATGACATGCATTCATTTTTTTCAACTTATAACATGGTCTTGAATGTGAGCATAGATGATTGGAAACAACCCACTTTCATTTCAATGAAACGTTCAAAAATAAATTATTCACCGACGTACACATTAAGGATAAGTAAATAGCAAGTAAACCACAGAGTATGGGTGAAATCATTACGATGACTCAACACTCACAAATATGTAATGAATGAATTCAATTATGACTTGAGTATTTTTCAACTTCCTCCGCATATTATATTGTTATTCTTGCTGAACAGGTACAATTAATGTTTAGCGCACGTTGCATTAAGGTATCACTGAATATTTAAAACACTAAAGTTCCTATGCATACAGTCCATTTCACATTGCAGTGAATGCATTGCTAGTGTAATGGGAAGTTAACACAATAAAATTTAGTATTCTAAAGAAAATTCTATCTACACGCACACTTTAAATTATATAATATTTGTTTTCTGAAAACATTGTGAACCGCCGTTTATATAATTTTTTTTGGCTATTGAATGTTGATAATTATGAGGTCATCAGTCTAGTGAGATCATTTATCAGTTACTATTTATCGTTATCACTAATGAATACTTACTTCTTTGCAGTATTAGTGCACATTTTGTGTCAATTTGCATAAATAGTGCTATGTGTTCGTGTTATGTAAAAATAATGTGTCAAATATAAACGAAAAATAAAAGATTCCATATACAAATGGGAGATGATGACTGGATGGAGGTAACGGAGCCTAATGGGGGGTCACGGTTCTCTAATCAAGTCTATTATATGTACGTCCTTGATACAAAATAAGACATTTCATAGCTCGTTACGATATTTTGTCAAGAGTCACATGTTTGCTCTGTTGACACGTATAGGAATGAAAGAATTAAGAGTTGGGGATTTTGAGAGGCTTTGTGTTGAACACATACAAGATTCAGAAAAAAAAACAAGGACACACTGAAAAAATCAAACCCAAAAATTCATTAATCGCATCACATCACTTTCTATAGTGATTTTTCCAAGCTGTAAGAATGCAAAAATGGAAACTGAGACCATTCATTTTGTACATCCGTGAAGTGCGATGATGGCCGTGTCAGTTCTGAGGCACACTACATACTGTTAAATGAAAAAAAAAATCGTACAGCAGCTTAGTAAAACTCCGCTGACCTCAGGCGTTTGATCGTCAGGCCTCGTTTGACGAACGCGCTTGCATCGTGGAATATACCCTCGTAGTCTTTCAAGGCTACGTCGGTAGGCGCAGTCGCCGACCGCCGCAACTTGCTAATTATAGTCTTCTGCACCTTCGAGCACAGGTAGTTATCTGGCTTTCTAAACCTAGGAACCAGGACGGGAGCAAGGAAAGGATGCGAGACCAATAAATTTATGAGGGCATAAATATCATAACGAAATAATAAAATATGAGAAAGAAATGAATATTTGTTAACGCACATATACTTAAATACATGTCATTTTCATATACCACCACACAGGTTTAAAGTATCTATTATATTTAATAGCATCCGTGAGGCAGAACTCCATAATTAGAGTGAAATTAATAACCTAGCATTAGAATAAACCTACAATAAAATGATAGAATTAAAGAACAGAAAAGTAATAAGAGCTTTATGTACTACATTATACCATACATAAATTCAGCCTGTAGTCATACGACAGGTGAGTCTAAGTATAATATTTCTAAGAGACAGATTTAAAGCTGACCTTGTAAGGGACTCCTTGTAGTCCAAATCGTCGATTCCGAATCTCTCCCTGAGATTTCTGAACACCAATGGACAGTATTCCTTCACCTTAAAATGTGATGGCATGTTTTCTCTGAAACAAAAATGTTTATTGTAACACCGCAACTGTATAAAACAAAGCTATGTAGATGTATATTTTAAAAAATCTATCGATGTGGTTTTGTTATTAGTATCCCGTATGGCACTTGAAAATTATGAAATCCAATAGGTATTCTAAGAAAGTCCCGATTTAATTTCCGTTCCTTTCCCGGAAAGGTTTCCTGAAAAATCTTATTAAAGATATCTTATGTGCCTTGATGACATTTTGCAGACGAACCCATTACTTTAATTTTTAACCGACTGCAAAAAAAAAGGTTCTCAAATCGACTGTATGTTTTTTTTTGTATATGTATGTTACGCGATAACTCCGGCCATAACGATTAATAATATTATAAAAATTTGTGAACCAATTTTGAGAATTCTTTTTTTATAGTATATTATAAAAAACAAATACACGCGATTTAAATCCAGAAAAATAGTTTCATTTTCTATGTGTAACAATCGCGAAAACCTAAGAACTCGATAATTCTTTTTTTGTTGGAAAGAGGGTACCTCAATAGTGGTCCCATTTGAAGAAAATATTCCACCTCCAAGGTTGGCAAACTAAGGAATGAATCTGGTTTCATGCACTTTCCGGTAACCGATTTCAATAAAACTTGGCAAACAGATGTAGTTCCACGAACTTTTGAAGTCATTTTTTTTAAGTACTCAGAACTGAGATTATTTAACCAATTTCAAAAAACCGCTCAATTCCACAATATTTTTTTATATTATTCAAGATTACTCTGACATTTATAAACCAATTTCGATGATTATTTTGTTGGAATATTTTCTTCAAATTTGAATGGGACCACTACTGAGGTACCCCCTTTCCAACAAAATAATCATCGAAATTGGTTTATAAATATCGGAGTTTTCTCGTATAATATAAAAAAATACTGTGAAATTTAGAGAAGTTTTTTGAAATGGGTTAAATAATCTCAGTTTAGAGTACTAAAAAAATGACCTCAAAAGTTTGTGGGTTTTATTGAAATCGGTTAACGGAAAATGGGTGAAATTCAATAAATCTGATTCATCCCTAATTGGCCACCCTTAGAGGTGGAATATTTTCTTCAAATTTTAATGGGACCACTACTGACGTACCCTCTTTCCAACAAAAAAAAGTATCATCAAAATCGGTTCACAAATGGCCGGAGTTAACGCGTAACATATACACAAAAAAATAAAACACAGCCGAATTGAGACCCTCCTCCGCTTTTTGAAGTCGGTTAAAATTAATGTACTATTACTTACAGTTTTAACTGAAAAAAAGTTGTTAAAATAGTTCGACAGAGAATTGAATGTGCTGTTGGCATTTACATTTCTTTTTTATTGTAAATAACTGTTGTAAGGGATGCAATCTAAATCTCTGAACCCTTTCTTTGCTCAGATAAATTCCTTGTCAACCCTTATCAAATGCTATAGCTAAGCTTTAGTATGAACAAATATCATTTATTACGTTGTTTACTATTGTTATAACACTCTATAGAACAGGGTTAACATAATTAATTTATTACGATAGATGGTGGTATTCTGTTGCTTTTTATTATCATCCAATTAAATTAATTAATAAGTTTAATGGCTGAACCGCTGTTATCACCACGCAACAATATTACGTCCGTACTATAAGGTATTCCAAATGGTGGATCATCAGCTTATCAGAGCATCAAGTGTGCTGGTGTAAGTCCATATACTTGTTATAGTATAGTAGCAAATTGTATGGTAATAGAGCCGAGTTCAATTGCAATACGATTTAAAATTTAATAAAATACTTCACAGTAAGTGTTTACTGCACCAAGCATCGATGAGAGTGGGCCTAAAGATCATGACCAAAACAAATGTTATGACCAACTTTGTGGGTCCTAAACATAATATAAATATAGGCAACTGCCCTATAAAGGTAATGAACGGCTACATCTATCTCGGTCATCGTCTATCATTCGGCCCCGCTTCAAATCACGAGACAAACTCAATTAGGATGGTCTTCGTTCAATAGGTTGGAAGATGTGTTTAAGTCTAGAATCCCTCAATCCTTGAAGACCAAGATGTTCAACCAATCTGTCCTACCTTACTTTACTTATGCTTCATGGCTTATGCTTCATGAGACATGGCTGCTCGCGAAAGATTAAAAGGGCAATGGAGCGCGTCACGCTCTGAATTTCTCCGCTGGACCACGTGCCTAATGTAGACATTCGACGTCGCACATAGGTAGTAATCGTGGGTACGAGGATAGCCAAGCCTAAATGGAGGTGGGCTGGGCGCTTGGCCAGAAGGGACGATGGAAGAGGGACGAAAGCCGTTACTGAATGGTGGCCAAGAAAGGTGGCTTTCTAATTTCTTCAGCGCAAACGAGAGTTGATATTTAAAAGTGATATAAGGCCCATTTGCTTGATGGATTACCATTGATGGATGGCCCTTATTTCGTCTCTATTTCTGGTTATATACTCGATGGTTGGAAACCACTGGACACACACCAAGGGACCGGAAAGAATGGCGCAATAGAGAGAAGGCCTATACTCAACAGTAGGTGCATACAGACTGAAATGATGAAGTGCTTATTTAAATTAGTCTTGTTCTTCTACTAGGCACAGATCCCCTTCAAATATCTTCAAGCCTCTGTCTTGTGCCACAAATTGACACCATAAATATATGCACGTAATACAATGTAGAGAATGTCTAAACCTATTATTAACATTGCTACAAATAGCAATCTAACTTGTCCATTTAAAACATAAAACACTAAAGAATTTCCATTGATAACATTGTAACCAAACACAATGACAAATCAAAGTAAACTATAAACTTATAATTAGTTCAAGTTATGTTGACCACGAGTATAGTAGCGGCGTCTCCTATTTCCGATTATATTTGAACCCTTTTTTGTTTTTCTTTTTCTTTTATCTTAACATCCAGATAAAAACGTAATGTATACGTTGATGAAAAAAGAAATCAAAATCCCATTCACATTCATTCATCATTCACGGATCTAAAATAGGGCCAACGCGGATCATATCTAATAAAAATTGTACGTGTGTAGTATTAGAAGTTCTAATACAAGAAAATGGCATGTGATGAGATTATAAGACATTATATAATTAACCTATTGCTATATACCTTTAATTTATAACTAAATGAATGTGTACAAATTATATTTTAAGCTTTAATTGTCCGATATTACGCTTGAAAATTAAGAAAGGAATTTCGTCCAGAATCGGAGTTATGAGGTTCTCAAAAGTCGACATCTTATACGTATGTAGTATCCATTTTGAATCTAAGGGTCGTATTCCAGAACGTAACGTAACGTAATTCAGGACTATATTCAAAACATTAGAAATCATATTCAAGTCCTTGCCATTAGGGTCGTATTTCCAGTGCTTGAAATCATACTCAAATCTGCTCAAATCATGACTTGAGCATTGAGTACAGTTCTGGAATACGACCCTAAGGGCCGTCGACTATCGAATCACGTGAGTGGGAACCCAGATAAAAAATTCTCATTATCCGCACAGAATTTATTTTACAGACCAGAGGTCTAAACATCTCGTTTAAATGTCAGTTAAACGTTTGGTATGTATTAAATCTTTGGTTTGCACAGAAGTGCAAATCTTAGCCGTCATGCCATGTTCAAAACTACTCGTCGTTTGTTTCAATTTCTGAAGACAATGTGAAGGATTTCACATTGCACGCTGAAAGTCAGTCTATGTTTCAGGTTAAAAGACACTTTTTCACTTCTCATGTTCTTAAAAACAGGAAAGAAAATAGGATTTTATGCACTAGTGCATAAAATAAAATCGTCGTATAAGACCGAGGCAATGACGCCTGCGCCAACAGCCACGCACACTAGATCTTTATAAAATAAAGTTTTACTTTTGTTTTTTTAATCCGTGTTATATTACAAAATTTTTAAAATAGGCAATAGTAATTCTAATAAGTTATAAGAAATAGAAATGCATAAAAAATAAAAGCTTGTAAAATATAACTGAGCATTATGTAATCCGACCGGAGTCACGTGTAGAAAAAAAAGTAGTACATTGGCGGAAAGTTCATATGTTTTGCTTGGCAATAGTTATGTTATCGTTTATTTGTAATATTGCTGTTTACTTTCCTCGCAATCGAAGTGAAAAGCCGAGTGCATAACTCGTTCATAAAACTCAGTTTATCCTCGACTAAAGTATCCCTCGACTAAACTATCCACCCTCTCTCGCGGCTCGGTGGGTATACTCGTCTCGGGTAAAATGACGCATTTTGTGCACTTGTTGTACAATCTACTATTGTTTAATATGCAGGTATAAAAATCACTTTCCGCATTATATGCAAGCGTAAAGGGAAAAAACAAGCTTTTCCGCAAGATAAAATAACAGTCAGGACGCGTTTCAATTGGACAGTTGTAGAAGCACTGCAGTCGTGCATCTGTGGCGCGTCTGGAGCGCATCTACAGTTTTTCATAATTATATTGTTATGGGTAGGCGTATCGCTCATCACGACTTGTTCGCCCCGTCACTTGGTTATAAAAAATAACACTGTAGGAGCTAATTGAGAAGGTCCCGTTCTAGATTTAGAGTAGGAGCAATTTGGGACTTTATACGTTCGTTCTCGTTTGTGTTCTGGGTAGTGCCTCGAAGTTAATTTCGTTACTGTGGTATTCATAGTACAGGTAATTCCATAGTTTGAAACAGTGTAATTGGTGTGGATATGTGTCACAGTACATAATATTTATTATTACTTGTTTTTACTTGGTATTACTTATCAATCATCAGTTCGATTAAGAAGTGTATTCGTCATTAGTATATTATTAATGTTAACGGTTGTATTAATTGACTATGACGCACAAGGTCTAGTCTTAATTAATTAACTCCCACGCATTAATTGCATAAATTATTAACCGTTTGTTATTTTAAGAAACAACACTAAATAAAAACCACAACTACATTATAATACTAAATCCAATTATTGTAAACAGAAATATGACCATTTACTATGGTAGCTTCTACGATT